TATTTTCAATAACATAATATTATAGTATAAAAATACTTTTTGTGCTTTAAGTATTTCAAATATTTTTTATACTTTCTTACCAATAGCTATTTGATGTGGTGGATATAATAAACATACATCTGTACGTAAACTATCATTAATTATACGCCAAGCCAATGTGAGTAATTGTTCATCTGGTCCTACATCTTGAATAAGAATTAATAAAGGTCGATATGGTTGATACACTATTAAACAACAATCTAGGTGTTCCAGAAGATAAAATTCACATTCTGAGATATGACTTCCACGATAAGGAAATTCTTGAGAATAGGCATAATTGAATTTGTTTTTCACTAAAATATATAATTTGTCTTAACTCGTTATATATTTCTTTGCCTTACAGACTTATTTATCTTATTCTATTATCACATTTGCTAAATTACATACCTACAGTCTGACAAGCTGCAATTAATCTATTGTGAGAAATAACTCCGAATTCTTCTACTTTTGAAGCTAAAAAAACTGATGTAGGTGCTAATAACAAAGGATCTATACACTTTAAGCTATTACGAGCATAAAATCTTTTAAAATAAACAGTTGCTGTAGCTATAACCTGTTGTCTCAGTTTTAATTGTTCACCTAGTACCTGTATTACTAAAAAAATATAATGTTTATTTAAATTAGTTAAACACATATAACCATACAAAGTATATAAATGATACAAATACAGTTACATTGAACTTATGGTACAATAATATTTCCTAATCTTCACAATATTAAGTCACATTGACAACATTTTCGACTAATTGACTGATCGAACGTTTAGCTTACGATTGGAAAAGAAGATGAATAATTTTTGATATTCTTCCTCTGTGAAAATTGAAAGATCATGCTGTCTTTCTCGTACCAAGTCCTGTTTATCCAAAAGCCATTGTTGACTAAAAGTACAAAGTATTTATTTATTTCATGAAATAAAATTGCAAAATATCTATTTAGTAAAGTAGTAAGAATATCTTACTGATGTGAACTTTGCCAAAAATTACCAGCCATATTAATCTTAAACTAATTGTCGGAAAAATAAGCAAAGTTGTATATCGCTGTCAAGCTCTCGACTATTTCTTGATTCTATGCCACATTTATTTGTTTGATTATTATTTATTATTAGTCACTGCATATTTACAAAACTTGATGCTTTGTCGCAAATATTACGAATGCCAACATATTTTCGCGGCTATTCGTATTATTTAAATTTATATTCTCCAAAAGAACTTTCGTGCGATGTTGTGTTCGAAAATTTACCAATTTCAATAGATCTAGTATAGTGAGAGTATTTATCGGATGTAAAATTTCTTCGTTGTCATCCCTTCAAATTTCCCTATGATCTCTGCAATGCTATTTGTCAAAAGCTAACCTTTAGCATGTTCAGTTCTATGCCAGAAACTTTTTAGCGACCGGAAATACTTGAAAAGACGTTTTCTCGAACGAAATGCAACGCGGTACAAATAGAAGTTTTAATACCTCAGATATAACATACTTGTAAAACTTTTCTGACATTTTCCGTGATAAAACGTATTATATAGGACACGCTTACAGTGTAAAATAAGCATGTATAAAATGAATTAGCCGAAGAAAAATATGGATCAATGTTTCTTTCTACGCGTGGGAGTATAAGGATGGAGTAATGTATGTATGTTTCGCATCGTTAATACTTATCGATCATTAATTGTTATAATTGGTTAATCTTTTAGAAATAAATTAAAAAGATCATGTAAAATACATATCACATTACTATAATTTAGCGTTTGTTTCGTTTACTGTTCACTTTTATCATTTATCATTATTTTAAACATACTACAAACATCGTTTTCTTTAACAATTATGGAATTTTGTGCCTCAAAACTTTATACATTTGATTACCTTTGTTCGTTTATTTCATTTCGTACCCTTTAGTTTTATCTCTTTTTCTACTCTAATTATGCTATAATGATCGATATCGTGTTAGTTGTTCAGTTATTTTATTAATATAACACGCTATTAAAATTACCGGCTTTTCTCTTTAGGTTTCCCTGCAAAAATAGATTATATCAGCTTTTTAATGTTTTTTTTTTTTTTTAATATCATTGAATTTTATATCTATAAAACAAATTAGACATTATGTGATAGATATAACAAAAATTTGCGCTATCATCGATCCATAATTAAGACTTAACATCGGCTAGATAAATGTACTGGAAACTGAACGCTTCAAGTTCAGGGACGTGTTTAAATAAGGATACGCAAGCCGATAGAAGTATCAAAGTCAATATTGCATTTTATAAAATAAGTAACATATTGTTACATTACATGACATTATTAAACGATAATATCTTGTTTGATGTACATGCACTAACGGGTAAATTACAATTGACAAAATATCAAATTAAAAATTACATACATTATTCGTTATTGTTTGTTATGATAAAAAAAAAATCGTACAGCGAGTCAATGAAATGAGATAACAGACATTTATGAGGAACTTGAGAAATCATAACGCAAAGCATTTTCGACATTAATTTTACGGAAAAATAATACATCACGCGAGAATTTAAAGGCTTGAAACATGGTAAAATTGCCTTTTAATAAAAGATGACAAGGATTATATTTGAAATATTTGATACGCAATAAAGCAATCTCGCAGGATGAGCAACTCTACATACATATATTGTCCGCCATAGAGACGTTAGCGCGCTTAATTATTAACAAGACTGTATGGGCAACATCGATGAATGAATCCTGTTGCGCAGACCGGTAGCTTTCATTGTAAAAGCGTCGATAGCTAGCATATAGTCAGTCAATTTTGCGGGGTGAGTGTCTATGCGCGAGTTTCGGTCAGTATTGTTTTTTTGTTTTTTCTGTAGTTTCAGCAAAGAATCAGAACGAAAAGACGATACGGTTACACTCTGGCAAAATGACTGATAATTCAATCAAGGATGGTGTATTAGAAAACATAGAGAAGAAGAGATGTTTTCGAAACGAAAGCGACGGTCGGTAAAATCTAAAGGGAGCAGGCGTGGACTGTGAGTTCGAGTCGGGCGTGGGGATGAACTCTACGGGGAATGCGAGAGGGAGGAGGACTAGGGCGCTTCCTGTGGTTGGCACTAGCCTAAAAAAGCTCCATAAACAGAATCGCGGCCGAATGTCTTTTCAATGCAACGAAAATGGTGAAGTGTGGGAAAAAGTGGGCATTGAGTAAAGGCTTCGACAGTTCGAACCATGACAGAGGCGTCGGAGGAGTAAGTAATATAACAATGTCTGTGGTACATTCTGATGGTTGTTCCGCTTCGAAACCTGAAATGTCCGTGACTATGACTTAGGTTTTCTGCTCCTTCGATATCACGTTCACATTGTGGCACCTGACAATTTTGTCCGACCTTATACCACTCGATATCCTGTCAACATTTTGAACACCGATCAATCGCTTTATTTCAACTTCCTCGAATTTTACATGGTCCTTCGGACGATTCTTTCCCTCTTAGAAACGTGTCATGTTCGTTGGACATCTATAAAAATTTACACAAGTAAACGTATGATTTCGGTCCAAGTATTGGTGTGTTATCCTGTGTGTGTGTAGGGGTGACCGTTCATTCATTAAATCGATGTCAGCGCGTAACATCTGCTATCTCGTATAGAATAGCGATTCTTCGCTTTCGCGTACATGTCGGTCTTGCGCGTTTTTACAATATCTTTAAATCAATTTCGATCCTACACGGGCACCGAAGTTTCTCACCGATTGCAAATCTGTGAATAAAATTTTATTTCTTACCAACCTTATGTGATAGAAATATATGTTATATATAAATGTGTAATATCATTATTAAGTATATTATTGTCCTTTAAATATATCGTTATGATGTTGTTCACGATGAATGTTATACATTTTTATCTTATATCAGATATCTTAAATATCTTTTTAAATTATTACTTAAGAAATTTTTAATAATTATGTTTGTATTAACAAGTGTAATGATAGATTAATTATCAGTTATATTAATTTCCTGAAATTTTATTTTTAGTGGTAACTATCTGGTGAGGGTTCGTGCCCAGGTAATGACAAGGGATGACAGTTCAGGTGGTTGGGTTCCTCTTAGTGGCGGTGGTTTAGCAAATGTTTCTGTTAGACGAAGACCAGTTTCTTCAGGTGGACATCAGTCTAATAATACCAATGGATCTGGTATTTCTACTACGACTGCCTCTACTACTAACACTACACAATCTGTATCGACTACAAGTGTTACTAATACCCAAAGTCATGGATCTTCTAATAGTTCTCCACCTGGTGCAACTAAGAAGAGGCATGAATATCTTATTTATGGAAAACGCATCACTGATCAATCAGTAATAATTATATTTATTAATCATTTTAATACATTGGTTGTAATGTATGATGCAAAGTTATCTTTTCTTTATAGGTTGTTCTTAGCTGTACAATTAAAAAAGATTTCGAGTATAATAAGGTAATGCCGACTTTTCATCATTGGAGGACAGGAGATAAAAGATTTGGTCTGACCTTTCAAACAGCTGCAGATGCAAGAGCTTTTGATAAAGGTGTTCGTACAGCTGTTGAAGAATTGTTAGAAGGTAAATTATTAATTTAATTGTTAAAATTTCATTATGACGGTAGAATTAACATAATGTGTCATAATAATATAATGATAAAAATTTGTATTAATTTTATGCTACTTTTTGTGAAATCTATAAATGGTAAGGATATCATCGTTGTTTTAAATATTATTAATTTATAAATTTTTGCTTTAAATAAATATATAACGATAGGTCGTTTATAATTCAGGGTTGACCAATTCGACATTAGATGCTGGTGATGAGGATGTTTTTATGGTATGTATTTTGAATAGAAATAGATAATGCATACTGATGTAAAATAAAATATATAAAATTCAATTTATTTTATAGACTTTAAATTTACCTGTGGAACCACCAGAACCACGTCCATCATCGGACACATCTCATGTACGACTGTCCAATTATCGTTCCCAGTGTTCAGATCTTCCTGATTCACATAAACCTATTCATTACATTGGTGGACCGTCTATAAAAGTGCCACCATCTCAGCATCCTTTGGCATCGACTGAAGATGTTGGATCAGATAGCTATTCTTATGTGCAGCTCACAACGCTTAACCATGAATATTTATATCCCATCATTGGTGACCATAAAGGAGACCGATTAAATAGACATAATACCGGCAGTTCTTTAAAGAAACCAGATATTATAGTAACTCAACCTTCTAAAAATACTATGAAACGTAATGTTCGATTACGATGTAAACATTGCCAAGAGCTGTACTCAGAACAGCAAAATCCTAGGGGATCTTGTGAATACGCACCTGATCCAATTAGACGAGGAATTGCAAAAATTTCATGTCTATCGTGTGCTCAGGGTATGTTATATCACTGTATGAGCGATGCTGAAGGTGATTTTTCCCAGAATCCATGCAGGTAAGTAAAATTTTTGTTGAGATATTTATTTCAGTTAGTTTTGTTTAATTTTTTCCAAGCTGATATGATATATGATATGATAAAAGAGTTTTTCAAATATAAATTTTTAATATCTATAATGTATTCAATAGTTATCCGATAATCAAATTGTTATTATGATTTATCAAATAACATAAGAATACATTATAAATGAATATTAAATTGTGCAGTTGTAGTACAGAAGAAGGATGTGGGCGCAGATGGTTTGGTTTGGCATTATTATCACTGATCGTTCCTTGCTTGTGGATTTATCCTCCATTAAGAGCTGTTCATTGGTGTGGCACGTCCTGTGGAATGTGTGGAGGACGTCACCATCCGATGGAATAACTGGAGGAACCCTTTGATATCTCTGTTCCATACTCAGTTGAATCAACTAACTTTTCTTCATCACGTGGTGCTGTGGCTAATGTGTATGAATGTCATGATTTGAGTATGGGTCGTTGTCAGAGGTATCAAAGGGGTAGACAACTTCCAGTACATGCACTTATCCATCAGCGTCATCTTTGAAAGAATTTGTTTCAAAAAACCAAAAAAATACGAGCACAAATTATCGCATTTAGCTCTAAAACCATGTATATTCCATACATTTTGTATATTTTATTAGCAAATACATTATTTAGACACATCTGTACATTAAATAATTTGAGAATGGACGTCGTTTAGTATTTACTCTGAATGATTGGTCCATAATAATATTATCTGGACTGACCAACTATTTGTGATACATGGTGCACACTGTGAGAATTCAAGTCAAGAAATAAGACGAATAATTTGTTATTCCCAGTTTGAAAGCTAGTTTTTGCCTCGTATGAAAATGATAAGAAAAATGTTTGCTATATTATAAGATTAAATTTTGCTGCGATTATAGAAAGGTTATACAGAAATAAATTAAAAAATTTTATTTTATTATAAATAAATTAGATATGTTGTTTATTGATTATTTTTACTTTGAATTTCATAAAAAAAGTTAAAAGTAATAAAATTTGTATGTTATTATAAGATACATATTATTTTATCATTATTTTTTTTGTGTTTAAAGCAAGATTTTGTATATTATTTGTATATTGATGATATTGACAAATTTGTCCTTTTAGTAGTTTATATAATTTTACTAGAAAAGATAATTTTAATTAATTCAACTTAATTACGACATATGCAAAATGTATGTTTGTATTTTTACCTTTAAATGTTTAATAAGAAATGTACAGATTTTTAATCTACTTCGGTAATTAGCACAAACTGGTTGATAAAAGCTAGTTGCACTTTCACAAATATGTATCAAAATTAATGACTAAAAATTGTATCATGTTTTATAAAGAAATTATACAATCATTCAGGAATGATTGTGAATATCTGTAGTATGTAATTTTATTTATATATCATTAACACACAATTCTGTTTTATTCCGATCCTTTTTTATTGTGCTCTTTATATTTACAAAATATTAATATTTATATAGATTATATAGTCAGTTATCTGTTAAATGGAATTTCTTATGCTAATATGTTGGCACAATGTTAAATACTAAATAATATCAGTATTTACTGTTTACTAGCATAGTACTTCTAGTACTATCAATCTTATTGTTATTTCATGCACAATGAAGATAAGCTTAAGGAACTTTAAGTATATATATTGTCAGTTTGAGGCTTATTATATATATTGGAATATATTTTTAATTTAAAGCTGAGTTCTACTATATGACTATATATTTACACTGAAAGATAATTCTATGTAAACTTGGTTTGCATAAAATGGATTGTTTACAGAGAAACTTTCTCTTCTATAATACTATATGTATATTATAGTTCTCTAATATACATATACATATATTTGGCATTCTTTAAAAAATTCTGATTTACTATTTGTATATCTAATTATTTTTTTTAACTATATTAGTAATTATGAAATATTTCATTTCATTTTGTGTATTTTACAATAATTGAATAATATGGATACTGTTTTCGGATATTTAGGAAATTAAGATATTTTTGAAAATAGGATACAGTTGGTTTTTAGCAATAATTCTACTTATCAATGATCTGAGTATGCTTTACAAATAATTAGTTTTATGAACCATAATATATGGTTTAAAAATTTACTTGTTTTAAGAATTCATATTTTGTATTCAAATTTTAATTGAAAAAAAATTAATTCTAATCTTGCTAAAATACTGTGGATGATTAAGTGCAACATGAAAGCATAGTTGTTTTCTTGCTCATACATGAATATTGATATAGAAAAACCAATAATTTTTAATTAAAGCTTTTAAAGTGACATGGTAGTTAGAATCAATAAACATGTTATAAATGTTGTAGAATGTTTTTATATTATTTTTGAAATACAATTTCTAATAAATACGCGATGAAATAAGATATAACTTTGGAACAACAAAATAAATAATGATTTGATTAACAAAACTTTTGCAGACATTAAAAGAAAAAATATTTTAGAAACGTACATAAAATAAAGAATTTATTATTATTCATTAAGTTTCGTTCTGCCTTATGTTTCTAGTCTAATAGTGATGTATGTTGAATTTACTTATTAGTTAAAACATTCTTTTGTGTCAAAATTGTTTTGTGCTAAAAATTTTAAGTTATGTGTCTATATAAATTTATGCAATTAATGTAGTTTCATTAACAAATAATTAAAATTATTTTACGTGTATGTACTATGTATTTAATATTAATTATTTCATTTTTCTTTTACTTTTAATTCAGTTTTAGATATTTTTCATAATTCTTGTTTACTAATCTTAAATATTTCAAATACTCCATTAGCATAACAAATATTATGTCTGCCTTTGTGAGTTGATTATTTCATGAATATATTTAATGACTTGTAATACTTTATCTCTCTGAGCTTTGTATCATTTTTTATTATATATAGATATATATATGTGCATAAATGCTGTGATTGAAATATTTTTAATAATTTTGTATTATGTTTTGTTACTTTATAAATAACTCATAAAAATTTAAATAGAAACGGATAAAAATCTGTTTGATAATCTATGATCTATTTTTTTTATTCATAAAATCAATTTTTTATTGCAATATTTTCATTTTTCGCATTAATATTTTATTAATAAATATAATATAGATTTTACTTTTGAAAACAATAGTTTTGTATTATGTAAAATACTATTAAATTAGACATAAATACATGCTAATTTTTTTAACAGAAGAATGAGATAAAGAATATTAAATACAGTTTGTAATAAAAATGCTTTCAACAAAAGAATGTCCTTCATTTTAATAATATAAAAGATTATATTTGTATTTTTACTTAATAAGCTCAGGGAGATATTCAAAAATGGTATAATTATGTACAATACGCGTTAATTGATTAATATCGATCAAGATTTCTTTTATACAGAAAAATTTATAGAAGGATCTTCAGAATTATAAATTCACAGAATTTGAAAAATTTTATTTAAAAATTTACAAATTTTGTAAATATTAAATTATTTACTGCCATAAAAAGTCGATAATTTAATTTTGATATCAAATACATTTTTTATTTTTTTTTATTCAAAGTATTCCACTTACGTATGTAATGTAGACAGTCTTTTTTTGTATAATATTTAATTAAATATTACGATCCATTTTTAGTTACAAATAAGTACAAAAAATTATTTTTTCAATAAGTCCGTTGTGATGGCTCATACCAAATGAGAGATACATATATAATCATTTTCACAGTGTAATTTTGTATGACATTGTATGACTGTATGAATGTACTTCTATTTAAATTCTTTTAATTATGAAGTATGACTGTAGGTTGCAATTGATCTGAGGTATTACAACGTGTCTATAATTATAGTGATCAATAATGAACAGAAAATATAAATAAATATAGTTTGTACGATAATTATATGACAATGTTGATGATAATAATTATCGACACAAATATGTGTGGATGTATTAAAAGAAGTGCAAATTGCGTATTTACGAACTAATAAACGTGAGAACGTATGCACATATAGAGAATATTTATACACAAAGTTATTGTGAAAGTTGTCAAACTGGGAAAATGCATAAAGGTGCCTGCCAGAAATGGAAAACGTGTAAACACATTAGTGGCAGTGCTCAAACGCGATCAGTTTGCAAAAAAAACTTATAGTGTATTTTCACCGATAATGTAAATGCTGCAAGATTAACAAATACAATTTTAATTTACAGATTCATTATATCATAAATGTTTAAATCTTGTATCATTGTAATTAAAAATATGTATCATAATCCAAATGTATAAGAAATAAATATATTGTACCATGACAAAATGTCATATAAATCAAGTTTGTTGTTCTAAAAGTTTATGAAATACATTAAAATACATTCTGAAAATATGTTTTCTTTAATCATTGATCACTAGAAATACAATACATTATGATATTCAATTTATATTACATTTAAGTTTTACATGTAATAAAATATAAGTTCATAATTATATTGACTGTATGAACAAAATATATATACATTAAGTTGTAAGGTATAATGTAAAAAATTAATGTGACTCTGGTACATGGCCATCAACATAGAAATTTCTTGTCGCTTGAGGCAGTTCCAATTCTATACCGTCTAATTCTTTTGTCAGTATAATTTGACAACCTAAAAATACAAAATTGTTTTTAATATTTTATAAAGTTAAATATATTGTTTTTAGACTTTTAATATGTTTAATTTGTTTACCTAATCTAGAGTTTTCTTTTAAAAATGGAGCTAAATCTAATAAATCCTCCTCTTTTTCTTCAGCTGTTGGGAGTTTATCCATGTAATTATGATGTACATATACATGACAAGTGGTGCAAGCAAGAGATGCTTCACAAGCACCTTCCATTTCAATTCCATATCTATGAGCTAAATACAATATGTTATCTCCCACTTTTCCTCTTACACGTATTCTTTCTCCCATTTTGTTAATAAAAGTAATATTTACACTATAACATTTAAGAAATTATATTAATTAAGATCTACAATAAGATCTTCATTTCTGTATTTTGTATAAAACAGATTGTAATATTTATTTGCAATATGATGCAATGTTTATGTCAATTTTACCTACATATCAGCTTCTGATTTTGGCTCTTGCATTTCATATTCACCATGGAAAAGATCTGAAAAATATTCATTATTCAAGTAAAGCAATTTGTTTCTAAACGATTAAAATACGTACTTAAGTTATTTATATTATTCTTAGCAAACCATATTTATATAGGTGTTTGATAAAAATATATTTACATTTCGACGTATGAATATCGAAATTTGATATTGTTACTATCTGATTCACTGGTAAAAGTGATCTTTTTACAATACTTTTCCATGCTGACAATCCCAGAAGAAGTGTCATTTTTTTATATAACTTTAATTCTAATTCCACCACAATATTATGACAATACCGCGCACATTTTACAAACAAAAACACACACTTTCATTTCATTGATCATCGAAAATAAAGATTGGAAACTTGACGCAGTGGAGATGCCAAAAGATGTCAAAATCATTGCTACCATTGTTTTGTCGCCAGTATATTATTAGTGAATTAAAAATAATGTTCCTTGTCTTTGTAGAATTGAATTATCTTCTTAAAACGAAGTTTGATTTCTAATCCGCAATTGAAAATGTAAAATTTGAAGAATACTTGCGTGTATAGTGTAAGATGTATTTGAAAAGTTGGCAGCAATTCGCGCACATGCGTTTTTTCTGGTGGTACATTTTTCAATGCATTCGCACATCACATAGACGCTTGTTACTGTCAAGTGTATTCTAAATATTGTATTTGTCGTATATTTTAATTTCGTTACTATATTACTCGTTTCTTGCAAGTCTCTTAAGACCCTAGAAAGTTGCCAGCGATGCAATGTATCAAGTTTTTATCAGTGGATACCGTTTGGCCGAGGTGTCACACGGCAAGCCTTATTATGTTTACTGCATCGATGTTCTGGAGTCGGAAACTGGTACTCGATACTTTATCGAAAGAAGATACAGCGAATTTAATGCTCTACATCGCACGGTATGTTTCTTCTGTTAATTTACATCGAAATCTTGCGATCTCTTTGATCATAGAAAAATGTCTATTGTACATATAAAGTTTAAGTCTAATTGTTTTTCTCTTTTACGTCAATACTTTTATTCAAATTCTCATTTGAGGATCCTATCTCAAAAGATAGGATAAAATTAAACAATAATTTCAATATCTTCGGAGATGTTTAGTATTCATTCTATGATAATAAGTATAGAACTATACTACGTATGATAATAAGTATAGAACTATGAATAGTTCAACTGTATCTTCGTCATGACTCTCGCACTATGACGTGAGGAAGAAAGAGACAGATTCAGGATGTATCTGTTCCTCTACAATTTTTTTCTACTTTATAAGGATAGTTTTCTTCATCCTCTTTTCTTTATCTATTCAGTTTCGTTCTCACAAATGAACACGTAACCCAGATTAATATTCGCGAGAATGTGCGTATTACGAAATATTAAATAACACATATACGTTACATAATAACGTATATACCTGTATCTGCATCATTGTATTTGATTACGTTTAGCGCATTAACATTGTTTACACCGTAAGAACACTTTACGTGGTAATTTTATTCATTTCAAGATTTTTTTTTTTTCAATTGATTTACTTTTGCTTAATGACTATTGTACTAATGTATAATATAAATGTATCCTTGATGAATACAATACGAATAAATGTATTCTTAATATCTTCCCGATAGTGTGCGATTAGTCATATTCATCAGCGTTTTCACCACCAGCGATATACCATGTTGCTGGCATCGTTTATATCAGCGTTTTCGAGTTCTTTTAGAGTCCGACTGGATTGCACGAAAGTTGCACGCAGAATAACATCTAATATTGTGTGTGCGCAGTTGTTAGCATCGAGTCAAGTTTTCATTAGCATAACGGATAGTATGTTTCAAATTGTAAGTTACAACTATGCAAAGCAGTTGTTTTATATCTTTCCCCATATTTACGTATTTATATATTCGTAATTTTAACACATTTTAGAGTACTTTAGAACAAAAAAAGGAAAATTGTTACCAATTGTAATTATACAATACAAGATGTGATAACACATTTATTTATAATAAATATTTATAATAAAACATGGGTTATAAAATCAACTAGAAAATTTTGTCGTTTTATCATAATTTATTTCAACTTTACAGCAAATGCACTTACTCTGGTTTCGTCAGACTCGTCGCAGTTAAAAATAATGGATCACGCAAGTCGCACGTTCTCAAAGTGAAATAGAGGACTTGAGGGATTAATTTGAAAAGCAGTAAC